TCAAAACAATTGCTTTCTACTTGAGCCATTGGTATCAGCTCCCCATTTCCCCCCTCCCTCCCTCATGAACCCTTGATAATTTATAAACCATTATTATTTTGTCATATCTTGCACTGTTCGACGTCTCTCTTTACCCACTTTTCTGTTGTCCATCCCCCAGGGAGGAGGTTATATGTAGATCCTTGTAATCTGTACCTCACTCTCCCTCCACCCTCCCGGCATCACCACTCTCACCACTGGTCCTGAAAGGATCATCTGTCCTGTATTCCCAGTTCCTATCTGTACCAGTGTACATCCTCGGGTCTAGCCAGATTTGTAAGGTAGAATTGGGATCATGATAGTGGAGGGAGGAAAGGAACACAGTTTGAATCTGACCGTATGCCTATTTCATTTTTTAAAAATAAAAATTCTTTTTTTGCCTTATCTTACACCATTCAATATATCTGTTCACCTACAATTCTGTTCTTCGTTCCCCTCACGTGGGGTTAGACAGACATCATTGCTATCAGTTCCCCTTTACCTCCTTCCCCCTTCTTCCTATACCCTAAAAAATAATAATAATATATAATATAATAAAAGGTTTCCTGGGTCGTAGGGGAGGAGAGGGAGGGGATAAAGGGCGGCTGATATCAAAGGCTTCAAGAAGAAAGAAAATGTTTTGAAACCGATGGTGGCAGCAATTGTACAATTATGCTTAATCTAATTGAATTATGGATTGTTATATCTGTAAAAGCTCCCAATAAAATGAATAAAATAATAAATAAATAAATAAATCTTGTAAGAACTGCTCAAAGCAAACCTCCTGCTCACGTGGAACCAACTGGATTATTTTGGAACAAGTGGTAATAGCAGTGCTGAAAAGGCACGTTGCTTCTAGTAGATGCCAGGTACCATTTTAAGGCCCTAAAGATATTAACACTAATTTACCGTGAGGACGTTGTACAAGGCAGATATTAATGTTGCCTCCATTGCCCATCTGAGGAAACAGGAGAAGTCGAGTGGCCTGACCATGATAACAAAGCTGCGCGTAGGGAGGGAACCAGCTGGGGTTGAGTCCTGGCTGGCTGCCATGCTGCAACATTCATCTTCCCAACCTCTCCACCCCACTCCACCTGCTTTAAAGCAGGTTGCTTTTCCTTGACCCAGACTCTTGTCATGTGACCTGAGAGTGGTGACACGTGATAGCAAGGTGCTCCACCTGCCCTCCTAAGAGGGTGTTGTTCTTCTCCATGAGTTCTTAGGCGCCTGGTTGACCCCGCCACAATGACTTCTTCTCTGGGACAGTCATTCTGCATTCAGGAGAGTGATCTTGTTCGAAGGCACAACTTACTATGTCATTTCCCTGCTTAAATCCCTACAGTAGCTATTCCTATCACTTATGAGAAAACCCACAAGCCTTTCCCTGACTGTCCCCGCTCTCTCCAGCCCACCCCCCTCATCCCATCCCCAACCCCAGCCCCTGCTGTTCCAGCCTCTCTCCCCACCAGTTTTGTTCTGGCCACATTTGTGTTCTCACAAATCATTGAATGCTCCCAGCTCCTGACATCTAAGAAGCCCCATCCCCTGAGACGTGGCTTCAAGGATGCTTGGTTTAAACTCCCCCTCTCCCTTAGTCTAAATTGGGCCCTCGGCAATGGTCCTCAGTGACAGACAAGCTTTGAGAGCAAAGAGAGAAGCACAGCTCTATTTTCCAACCTCATCCGGGAGCCCTGGTGGCGTCGTGGGTTGGTGGACTGGGCTGCTAACCAACGGGGCCCTCTAGTCTCGGGGAGTGACAGTCTCTGAAATAGGATCGGTATGAGCTGGAACCACACGATGGCAGTGAGTTTGGTTTGGGTCCATTCGGACCTCGGAAGTGGGTTGCGAAATCGGCAGAGTTCTTTGAATCTCCTTACTCTCGTCCAACCTTCTCCCAGTGTGTGCAAGGAAGTTTACCTTGAGTTTTATGAGAATAATAGCAGAAAATGATATTGTCTCTTTCAGATTAAAGCTAGAAAATACGTAAGGCCATGGCAAAAAGTCAGAGAAGAACTTATTTTGACACACAAGATGGAGAAATTGTTTGCCTTTCAGGTATGCCAGGTTGATCAAACAACACTGAAGACCTTCCTAGGTTAATTCATACTTGTGGACTTGTCCTCCATTGTGGACCCTTGGCTCTTCGTAGACTTCCCTCTCCTCTCCACTCCACTCCAGTGCTCACACTATCCCAATCCTACGTATAGTTGTTCTCACATGAGTGTGTCGCCTTCCCTAGTCCCACTCAAAGAGTATCAGACCTCTGTCCTGGCTACTCTCTCTCACCCTGGCTCTCTCCTAGGCCTCTGACATGAGACAGCGGGCCCTGATGGACATGATGGGAGGTGTTCTGGAAGTCAAGAAGGAAGATATCTTGAAGATGGTAAGATTTCTGGCCATCCTTTCAGGAGACAGAATGGGGTGAGAGAGTTACTTAAACGGCACCGTTTTATGCCCCACACAACTTGAGTTTTAGATCCTTTACTTCAACAAGTTTTACACAGCCTCTTAGTACCTTATACACTTAGCGTGTGAGGTGAGTAAAAGGACTTTGAAACTTCCCATGTAAAAACCAACTAACCACAGTAGGTATTTGATCTCTACAGAAGGCAGAGACGATGCTGTACCTATAATTCTCTGCCTACATCAATTAATGTTTGTTTTGACACCTGATATAGGTGTTTCTGGAACTCAGGTCTACTTTCAGCTACCAAGGTAGAAACACCTAAGTCAATCACCGAAAGGCTGGGGTACATCTACCTCCAGAGTCACAAAGAAACACTTTTGCATAGTTTGGGGTCAAAGTGTCAAGTCAGAGGTAAAGAACTATACTCTTTTAAAGGACTCTTTTGGGCAGTAATGCTAATTCTGAGTTTTTACTGTTTTTTCACATTTAGGTGAAAACTGAAACCTAACCTTTCCTTTGTGTCTTCAGGTAATTCCTCAACCTGCTTTCATGGTCAAGCCTGATGCCATGTGGTCGGAAGAGGAAAGGAAACAATTCAAAGAATATGAGAAAAAAGTCAAGGAACTAAATGAAGAAAGAGACAAGTATAGAAAGGTCAGAAGAACAACAGATTACTATAGCCTACCATATCTGGATCAATACACCCAGTATCTTTATTAGGATAGTTTATCAGCTAGAATTCTCAAGAAAAACATAGAATAGTGTTTTGGGGCAACTGGATAGAGATAAATATAAAGATTTTGAACAATTTAAAACAAAAAGAACATATTAAAAAAAACACTGTCATCAAGTCAATTCTGACTCATGGCGATCCTACACGGGTTTCTGAGACTTTGCCCATCTTTATGAGAGCAGACAGCCTCATCTTTCTCCCAGGGAGGCTTTGGTGTATTTGAACCGCAAACCTTGACATGAGCAGCCCAACAATGGGGCTCTTTTGGGGGGTGGGGAATATGATTTTTATTGATATAAACATTTCCCATCTTATTACATTTTGGTTGATCCTTCGCTCATTCCATACTCAAATTTACCCCCATTTTCTCAATAATATCCTTCATGGATTTTTTTTAATTCCAAAAATCAAATCAACTGCCTTTAATTTTCATGCCGTTTTAGTCTTCTCGAATCTAGAACCATTTCAGGACTTAATGGGAGTCTTCCATGGCACTGATAGTTTTGTAACTAGGCCAGTTGTTTTGAGAATGTCCCTAAATTCCAGTAGAATGATTTTGATAGCAGTGCTGCCCAGGTGATGCTGTGGCCTTTCAGGGTATCACACCAGGAAGCACCTGATTTCTGCTGGCCCCTTGGCTGGTGATTTAAGCTTGATCACTTGTAAGCTGATGTTCTCCACATTTCTTCATATTTAAATAGATAATTGATGAAGTAACATCTTGAAACTGTGTGACTCTTCTATTCACCCAGTGTTTTAACATCACCGATGATCCATGCCTGAATCAATGATTACTTTGGTGACTGAAAAATGGTGCTTTTCCAGCGGCTATCACTTATTTTTCATCAATTTGTTGGTAGAATACACAGAGTAACTGTACCAAAAAGAACTAGTTAACATCCCGCCATTTGAGGAAGTGGCATAGGAACAAGAACCAGTGGTACTGAAGGAAGAAGTACAAGCTGGATTACAGGCAATACCCAAAAATGGCTTCAGGAGTAGATGGAGTACCCACTGAAATGCTTCAACAAACTGATAAATCACTGGAAGAATTACAAGTCCATGCCCAGAAATTTGGAAGACAGCTCCTTAAGTGGTCAACTGACTGGAAGAGATCCATATTTGTACTCATTCCAAACAAAGGTGACTCAATAGAATGCTCAAATTATCTGACAATATCATTATTATGACATGCCATTAAAATTTTGCAGATCATCCAACAACAGTTGCAGCAGTTCATTGACAGGGAGCCGCCAAAGGTCCCAGCCTGGAACAAAGGATATCATAGCTGAGGTCAGATGGATCTTGGCTAAAAGCAGAGAATACCAGAAAGATGTTTAGTTGTATTTTATTTACTATGCAAAGGCATTTGACTGTATGGATCATAACAAACTATGGGTAGCCTTGGGAGGAATGGCAATCCCAGCCCACTTCCTCATGCTCATGCAGGACCTGAACATGGATCGAGAAGCAGTTGTGCAAACAGAACAAAAGAGTACTGCATGGCTTAAAATCAGGCAAGGTGTGTGACAGGGTTGTATCCTCTTACCACACTAACTCAATCTGCATACTGAACGAATAATCAGAGAAGCTGGATTAGATGAAGAGTGAAGCATCAGGATTGAAGGAAGGCTTATGAATAATCTGTGGTATGCAGATGACACAACCTTGCTTGCTGAAAGTGAGGAGGACTTGAAGCATTTGCTGATGAAGATCAAGGATTGCAGCCTTCGGAATGGACTACATGTCAATGAAAGAAGACTAAAATCCTCACAACTGAACCAATAAGTAATATCATGATAAATGGAGAAAAGATAGAAGGTATTAAGGATTTTGTTTTGCTTGGATCCACAATCAATGCTCATGGAAGCAGGTGTCAAGAAACCAAAAGACATGTTGCACTGGGCAAATCTGTTGCACAAGACCTCTCGGGAGTGTTGAAATGCAGAGAGATTACTTTGAGGAGTAAGGTATGCCTGACCCAAGCCATAGTATTTTCAACTACCTCATGTGCATGTGAAAGTTTGACGTTGAGTAAGGAAAACCCAAGAAAAATCGATGCATTTGAATTTCAGTGCTGGTGGAGTATTGAAAGTACCACCGACTACCAAAAGGACAAACGGACCTGTGTTGAAAGAAGTACAACCAGAGCGCTCCTTAGAGACAGGGAGGGTGTGTTAGTCTGGGTTGACTAAACAAAGAGCTTCATATAAAAGAGTAATTGTATATTAAGAAAATGTCCCAGTCCAGATCAAGTCCATAAATCCAAAATTAGCCCATATGTCCGATACCAGTCTATAAATTCCTCTTCAGACTCATGCAACACATGCAATGATGCCAACAGCAGGAAGATCACAGGCCAGTGGGGCGGGGGTGGAAGCATCTCAGCACTGGTGTGGGTCTCCACGTGGCTCCTCCAGCTCCAAGGCATTGGCTGTCATCAGCATGGCTCCATGTGGCTTGTCAACAGGAATGTCAAGGAGAGAGAAAGTGTGTGTATCCCGCCTCTAGGGAGGAAGACAGGAGTTCCCAGAATCCTCAGGAGAAGGGCATGCCCCCACAAAGGCCTCATTGGCTATGACCTGATTGACCTGTTAGACTCTACCCCTTTGTTCAAGTTGACAGGAGATTATGTAACTGCCACAGATGGGCAGACTTGGTCTTCCATATTTGGGACATGTTGTCAGGAGAGACCTGTCCCTGGAGAAGGACATCATGCTTGGTAAAGTAGTGGGCCAATGAGTGAGAGGAAGGCCGTTGAGGAGATGGACTAACAAGGTGCCTGCAACAATGGGCTGGCACATAGGAACAGATTGTGAGGGTGGCGCAGGTAGAGCAGTGTTGTGTTCTGTGGTGCAGAGAGTCGCTATGGGTTTTAACCGAATCCATGGCAAGTGACAGTGACGGACATTAGTTGGTATTCGTGTTCAGAAGAGCTTTGTTATCCTTGTGCCACCTCAGGCCCATACTTTAAAAAAATAGTTTTGTTGGCAAATAATTCACGTCACACCATTTAGCAGACCCATCATGTTAAGAAGAGTTGTGCAATCATCACCACAATCAATTTCAGAACATTTTCTTTCTCATCCTCGTTATTAGCTCCCCATTTCTCCCCACCCACCTGCTGTGTCCCCGGGCAATGATTAATCCAGTTATTGTTTCTATAGATTTACTTCTCCTGGATTACATATATCTAAAATAATACAAAACACACACACAAAAACTCCACAAACAAAAGCAACAATGACAAAACAAAGGAAACCCTCATCACAAAGAAAACAGAACACATTAAAACCTGAAACAACTTTCAATAGGTCAAATGGGAGACCAAATGAGAGAGTGTTACATTGTAAACTAACTACATCTGCCCTAATCGACTTTACAATGTGCTCTGTCTGGCAGCAAAGATAGTCACCTCCCTGGACTATGGTCAGAGGGAATTCAAGAGGCTTAATCCATGGGGGCTCATACTTTTAAAAAGACTTTTTTTTAACATAATTATTTTAATCCATTTCTTTTATTATTGTTTTTGATGTTCAGTGCTGCTTTAAGTTGTCCTCTGCATCTTTTTATGTACCCCATCAATTTTTGAGCATTTTTAATCCTTCTAAGACAATAAAATGTTCTGGGAAGACATTGTACTTCCCCAGTCATTTGTCTAAAACTGGTCAGTTTTCTAAAGATCCCCAAGTCCTCTTATTGGGGTTTCATATTTAGAAATCCAAATATGGACACTAGGCCTGCCTAGGGTTCATGAGTTTCTGAACACCAATCGCATCTACACCTTTATTAAGTCAATTAAGATTTTTTCACACTCCTTGTTTTTATCCTTAGAATATATCTCACCAGGGGTGTACTAATAGCATATAATGTTCAAAAGTTATTTGGACTAATTCTTTTCCTATGTGGACAACATCATCAATATGATACAGAGTTAGATTCTTTAAGCAATGGTGTTCTTATTTGAAGGGGATGGAGTTGCTGTATCTCATGATTTTTGTGGTTTTCTTTTGTTTCTGTGGGATTACTAATTTCTACCTTTTCTTCTCTCTTTCCCGGCCCCATCAAGTCTTCAAGGGGCACCTCCTTCTTCCAAGTTCCTTCTCTCACCTTTGCCAAAAGCAGTACCACTTAAGACTGTGCCTAGCTACCATCATCGTTCACTCGGCCTTATTGCATGATTCTCTCTTCTTCCACCTTTACTCTGATCCTGGTATCCCACCTGCTTTTGGCCCGTCACTGTCTTCCACAGTGACTGTTCCAGCTCCCTGACCTCCTTGGTGTTCCCAGGAGACCCAGCTAGGACCTTGGTACATGCGATCTATCTTCTTTGTCCAGCATACCCTGACCTCCCCACTCTGCTCAGTTGCCACCTATTGGGGGACTCCATGCCATGCTCCATTTACCTCACCTTCCGTTACTGTGTTTTCGTTTATTCATTTATTGTCTATCTTCCTTCCTAAAATGTAACACCAGGGCTGAAACTTAATTTGTTATATTCCTCTGTTTTGTAACTATGTTTGACTCATAATGAGCATGCAAAAAATATTTGTTGAATAAATGAATTAATTTAATCATGCCTATTCTGTGCCAGGGACTTTCCTAGGAACTAGAGATTCATAACCTAAAAGATAGAACCTCTAGTCACAGGAGCTTACAGGTACTAGTCAGCAAAGACAATCTACACTTAAATTAGGGGCCCTTTCTCCACCCCACCCCCTACCAGGGCTGGTAGAAACTCTTGGCGGACTGGATTTGGGCAGTATCCATGCTTGCTCCCTTCTTGGCTGCTCATCTCTCTTCTTCTCTATTTCCCCACTTCGCAGCATCATTCGGCAAAATTAGATTACCCTGGGGATATTTGAAGAAAAGTGGCATTCTCACCTCACAAACACACTGGGCACTTAAAGTAGATTTGTTTGAGGACAAGATCCATATTTGTGCCCATTATATGAAAAGTGATCCAACAGAATGCAGAAAGTATCAAACAATTTGATTAATATTAGATGCCAATAAAATTTTGCTAAGCATAATTCAAAAAAAATGGTTGCAGTAGTACATTGACAGGGATCTGCCAGAAATCCAAGCCAGATTCAGAAAGAGTCGGTGGTGTTCCCAGATGCATCTTGACAAGAAGCAGAGAATACCAGAAAGATGCGTGCCTCTTTTTCATGGGATGTGTAAAGGTATCCATTCAACTGTGTGGTTCATATCCAAGATGGATAAAGTTACAAAGAATGGGAATTCAAGAATACTTCATTGTGCTCTTGTGAGACTTGTGTAAAGACCACAAGGCCGTTGTTCAACCAGAACAGGGAGACTGCACGACTTAAAATCAGGAAAAGTGTAGATCCAGATTGTATCATTTCCCCAGACTTGCTTAATCTTTATGGCCGAGTAATATCTCCAAGGAGCTAGACTATGTGAAGGAGAACTCAGTATCAGGATTGGAGGGACATCCATTTACATCGTGTACAGGACACCACCTTGCTTGTTGAAAGTCAAGAGGCCATAAAGCACTTACAGATGAAGAGAAAAAATGCCGTCTCCACATGAAGAAAACAACAACCCTCACAAGCTGGATCAATTAGCATTATCATGTAAAAAAATCAAAGAGTTCAAGGAATTTATTTTACTTCGACCCATAACCAATTTCATAGAAATAGCAGTCATGAAATCAAACAATATATTACCTTGGGTTGATATCCTGTAAAGGACCTCTATAGAGTATAATTATGTCATTTTGAAGACTAAGTGTACCTGTCCCACACCATGCGATCGTCAGTCACCTCCTATGCATGAGAAAACCGAACAAGGAACAAGGAAGGCTGTGTCTCACATATTTGGGCATGTCATCAGGAAGGACCAGTTCCTGGAGAAAGACATCGTGACTGATGAAGTGCAGGGTCACAGTGGCTGATGGTGAGTAGGGCCCAGGACTGTTTCCTTCTGCTGTTCACAGGGCTGCTATGCGTCGGATCTGACTTAATGGCATCTGCTAAAAGGCAGAGGCCACATCGGATTTCCTTAGACCACACAAGGGAGAGGGCACATCTACAAGACCAGCCCAAGGCCGATTGCCACAAGGCAGGTCAGACATGCCTCTCCTCTGCACGCTATAGCTGGGTTTGATCTGTTGCAATAGTCACATGCGACCCAATGATTTTGGAGGTTTATGAGCCCTGGTGTCATAGTGGGATACGCATAGGGTTGCAAACTACAAGGTCAAGGGTTGGAACCCAGCAACCTCTCTGCGGGAGAAAGGTGAGTCTGTCTACTCCTGTACAGATTTAAAGTCTCAGAATCGCACAGGGGCAGGTCTGCCTTGTCCTATGGGGTCATGAGGAGTCAAAATGGACTGAATGACAGTAAGTTTGGCTTGAGAGTTTATTAGGGAAATCAACAGGTTACCACAAGCCAGGATCATAAAACATTAAGGATACAGTCTTTGGTCCTCAGCAGTGCCTTTCCTCAGCCTGCACCCAAGTCTATTTCTTGTCTTCAGTCTTTCAGCCACATGGTCCTACAGGGCAGGAAGCCTGCCTGCCTGCCTCACAGTCTCATAGTTTCTCTCCCCTGCCTTGTGGGCCCCTGGCCTCTGCCGGAGGCATGGCCTCACCTGCTTCTGCAACTTCAGGAAGGGAGGGATTGCGAATACATTCCACTAGTGCAGCAGTTCTCAACCTGGGGGTCGTTACCCCTTTGGGGGTTGAATGATCCTTCCACAGGGGTTGTCTAAGACCGTATTTCCGATGGTCTTAGGAACCGAGACACCGCTCCTCCATCTGTCTCCAGGTGGGTCCACCGACATGCAGATATGCCCACATACGGGGTCATCACAACATGAGGAACTGTATTAAAGGGTTGCAGCATTAGGAAGGTTGAGAACCACTGCACTAGTGGCTCTTCTTCTAGGAGGAAGGTCTCGGGAATTCTCACTATTCCTGCTTCTGAGATGGCTCCTTATACGCAGGGAAATCGCAACTAAACCTGACCAGTCCCTTCTAGTAATGTTTCACACACCTTATTTGCATGGTCCCCCTAAGTCATTTGGTGGGACTCACAGAGACCCGGATGGAACGACCATGACATAAGGAAGCCCTGGTGGTGTAGATGTTATACGTCAGGCTGCTAACCCAAAGGCAAGCAGTTTAAAACCAGCCACTGCTCTTTGGGATAAAGGCCTTTGAAATAGAGGAAAGAACTAGGAGGCAAAGGGCATTTATAGTGGTCTATATGCAGGCATGTACATATGTAAGTATATTTATATATGATGATAGGGAAATAGATCTATGGACATATATTTATAGGCTTAATATTAAGGTAGCAAATGGACATTGGGCCTCTACTCAATTACTCCCTCAATGTAAGAATACTTTGTTCTATTAAACTGGCATTCCATGATGCTCACCTTCCCAACACGATCGCTGAAGACAAATGGGTGCATAAGCAAATGTGGTGAAGAAAGTTGATGGTACCCGACCATCAACAGATACAGCATCTAGGGTCTTACAGGCTTGACGATAAACAAGCGGCCATCTAGCTTGGAAGGGGGAATTTGACAGGCTTGAGCATTAACCTTCCTACTGACTTCCTTCCAGTCCTTAGAAGCAGAAATGAAGAAACTGCAAAACAACATTCTAGAAACCACACAGGCCTTCGACGAGCATTTGAAAAGGCTCTTTGAAAGGAGAGTGAAGGCTGAGATGGTCGTCAACCAGGTACATCCAGAGCTCTGCTTATTAGGGCTGCTTCTTTTAAGGTGTCTCCAGAGGCCTTCCGTGGTCCTTTGGATAAAGCCTGACACGCGTCCATTTCAGTGGCTCTGGGTTCTCTGGACTGTGGCTTCTCTGGTGCCATCCTCCCTGCCCTCCCCCCTTTCTGTCCCTCAAGCAAACTTGGTGCTCCCCTTTCTCCCGCCTGTGCCCCTTCCTTGCCTCCTAGCTCCCATCTACTCACCCTTCACGACTTCAGCTACCAAGTCCCAAAGGAATCATAGCCTATCACCACTTAGCCCTCTTGGTGGACTCATAGAGCTGCATACTGAAAAGAAAGACAGCCAGGCATTTGTGCCTGCCCATCCCACCCCCCACCCCCAGCCCCATGGTCTTCCTACAAGGAGTAAGCATGGGTGTGAGCAGATCTCTGGACCCAGCTGCCGATTTTCAGGAAAGTATAGAGCCCAGAGAGTACAGAGCCATTGAAGCCTAGGCTGGGGAAACAAGCTGTGACTAACTGTTGATATATGATGAGGAAAAGAAAGGAAGTGAAGGGGGACCTGCAGGTGAGAAATGCCCTAAAAAAATATGACCAAGGGTTTTCAAGAAACAAGTTAGACCACGATGGCTGGAGATAAAGCAATAGAGAAACACGGGGAGTCATATAACTCGGGGTAGTGTTTCCTATTGGAGTTGGGACGCAGATGGGCTCAAAAGAAGGCCTTTTCGCTAGCAGCAAGCTTCATCAGGTGGTGGTTAGAAGGGCGTTCACATTCATAATAACTCACACATATGTTTTATTGATCTTTCTGTTTTTACAATGAAAAGGTATAATATCTAACTGTATAACATTCTTTTCCTCTAAAACAGTGGTTCTCAACCTTCCTAAGGCTGCGACCCTGAATACAGTTCATGTGGTTGTGACCCCCCAACCATATAATTATTTTCGTTGCTACTTCATAACTGTCATTTTGCTACTGTTATGAATCAGGCGACCCCTGTGGAAGGACCGTTCTACCCCCAAGGGGGTCGCGACCCACAGGTTGAGAACCGCTGCTCTGAAAGAAGTTTTTACTTGTATGCCATAGACATTTTTATGCATGCCAAGTATCTAGCTCTCAATAGAAAATCCCTTTCTCAGGATTATTGATCTCACTCTCTTTTTCCTTTTTTCACTATATGCCTATAGGAGGAATTGAAAATAAATAATCTTCTTTTCTCTTTACTCTTGGATGAAGAATTAAGCTCCAGAGAACTGTGTCTCAACAACTACCTTACAAGGCAGCAGCAGCAGAAAGTTAGTATCTGACACACCTGTGCACAAGCCTGCTCTGACAGATGTGGCCCTTTGTGATAGTCTGGGTACTTTCGAGAAACAAATCCACAGAAACTCATGTATAAGAGAGTTTCATATAAAGGTGAAGGACACATCAAGAAAACATCCCAACCCAGTGCTGCCCAAGCCCACAAGTCCAACATTAACCCATATGTCCAACGCCAACCCACAAAGTCCTCCTCCATCTCACAAAACAGATGCAATGATGCCAACTACAGGAGGAAAGCCGAGTCAGTGAATGTGTAAACATCTCAGCGCTGGCAGTGGTCTCCACACAGCTGCTCCAGCATTCCAGGGCTACATCAGGGTAGGTCCATGTGGCTTCTCCTTGGGGATGTCTTGCAGGAAGTAAGCCTTGCCAGTTAAAGCAGGGAACTGGCTAAGGCAGCTGCACTCTGGTCAGATCATCAGAAAGCAAAAGACCCGAGAACTAGAACGGCGAGGTTCACTGAGCCATTTATCCCTCCGCCTTTCAATTAACCCCACATGTATTTATTTATCGGCCAGGTTGGCACAATAAACTACCTCACACTTATTTATCAGGACCTCATTTGTCCTTGGCCGTTCCTGCCTTCAACCCTTTCTACTAAGCCCTTCATATTCCTTGGGCTTTTGCTACAGGGCCAGGAGAAAGCATCTATTCCAATCCACTGATAAAGTTATGTAATTCTTCAGTCCCAATTATTTATTCAAGAGACCCATGTCACCAGTGACGGGAATTTGGTAATGGATCCTAGCTATGGTTGCCTAGCATGACTAATGTCAATTGATTTCATGAAATTTTGCATGTGAAAAAATGTTAAATTGGCAATATATGTTTTATTTCTACAATCATAGAAAAGCATGTAACTTTCCTATGATATAAGGGGAAACAACAGTAGCAAACTACTGCCATCAAGCCGATTCCAACTCATAGTGACCCTGTATAAGGGTTTCACGACTGTACGCAAACAGCCCTATCTGTGTCCCACACAGCAGCTGGTAGGTTTGAACCACTGACCTTGTGATTAGTAGCCCAACACTTAGCCCAATGCACCAAAAGGGCCGCCACATAGCTTCATGGTTAAAATCACTGGTTTTTAACCCCTGACTGAATCTGCTATCTTGGACAATATATATAACCTTTTAAACTATTTCCAAACTCTTATTTAGGGAACGTTGTCCCCTGTGGACCATTTGGCATCCTAAGTTTTACTAAACATATAAGCAAGAGTAGTGAATAGATTAGCTTATAGAATGAAAAACACAACCTTATTCGGAAAAATCCTGTCCTAATATAGGTATGAAATATATGAATCATTAGAGGCAATGAATAAATAATATTTGCCCTATAATATTACTTCAACATTGCAAATACACGAATTAGTATATCCACTATGACATAGGCACTTAATCTTGGCTAAGAGCCTGTTAGAAATATGATGAGGAAACTAGATGGTTTTAGCTATCAGACAGAACAGCATCTGGGGTCTTAAAGGCTTGTCTTCAAACAAGCAGTCATCGAAATGAGACGTCAACTAAGTCCACAGGGAAGAAACACATCAGACTATGTGAACCAAGGATTATAAATAATACAATCCATATCCAAAGGAGGGAATGATATCAGAGCTTAAATTATGATCATCTGGGTTTCAGAAGGCTCTGGATGACAGTGGATGCCTAAAATCCATCTGCAGAATCCACACATGGATTAAGCTGTGGTGAATCCCATCTGCCTACAGGTGAGGGATGTGATATCAGACACAGAGCATTGTGAAGTTGATCTGGCAGATGTATGATATGCCTAAGCCCACAAGTCCAACATTAACCCATAGGTCCAACACCAATCCACAAAGTCCTCCTCCATCTCACAAAACACACAATGATGTCGACTGCAGGAGGAAGGCCAAGTCAGTGAATGTGTACAATATAATATCATTTGATCTCCCTGGTTTTTTAATTAAAGAGTGAAAGAGAAGTACATGTGTATCAAGCATCCAGTCACTCCCCTCTGACCCTAGACCAGAGATGTGAGTAGCCTCGCTTTATGCAGAGTGCAGTGGAAAGTAGATTATCACGGATGCAGTTAGGTTAAAATTTAACACCTTATCATTTAATCTTCCTTTTGACCCATTTTAAAATTGTTCTACTTATTAATATGACGTGCTTGCTTTTCAGTTGAGGCTTTTCTCTGTTTTCCTTTGGCTTTGTTGTTAGTCTTCTTGTTATGTTGTATGTGTTCTGTATATGAAATCCAGGACAGGTAAATCTATAGAGACAATAACTATATTAATGGTTTCTGTATCCATAGAGACAGTAACTGTATTAATGGGGGTACGGCAGGAGAGGTTGGGGGTAGATGGAGAGCTAATAACACTGAGTACAAGAAAGAAGAATATGCTCTAAAACTGATTGTGGTGATGACTGCACAAGTCTTCTTAATCTGACTGAACTATTGAGTTGTATGATATGAGAATTAGAGTCTGTTAGGACCTTGCTGGCACAGTGGTTACATCTACTCTGCACTATAGGGATATTGTAAGTTTAAACTGACTTGGAGACAAGGTTTGGACTCTTTTAAAGAGTCCTTTACCAAGTACATGCAAAGCCTACTCTAAACACAATCCTACTCATAACCACCATGCCGAATGTGCGGTGTCCTTCAAAGGTGAAGAGACGAATGGGTTGTACACGATGGGTGATGTTCCCAAACCACCCACTAGACGTGAACAGTTCAGGGACTGCAACTGGAAATACGTAGACAAAGACCATCCAGATGAGAATCAACAGAGGTTATTTATCCAGAACATGCTACCTATCGAAGGAGGCAGCCACTGTCATTTGACCTGTGGCAGAGACCAAAGGCCACCAAGGAAAATGAGAAACTTTATAGTGGACAGGCACACCCACTTGGTGCTTCTTGGGATGGGAAAGACAGGCCATCCAGAAGCAGTATGCCCGTACGATTGGTTCAGAAAGCATGTTTAACTTGCTCTGGTGGATAATGAGTCAGAAACAGGGACAAAAATTAAGGAAGCTGACCTTTATTGACTCAGCCCTGATTGTTTAAGGCTGAATGCTTTGGAGGTCATGATTTGGCTTCCCAAATATGTAGTTACAGAGACCTATTGTCATATCTGGTCTGGCTATTGTCTGTTGATAGATACAGTCTATGTGAATGTACCACACAGGTCCCATACTCCAGGATCCAGGTGACTCCTAATCCTGTGTGTTTTCATCGCCCCATATTGCCCTTCCATGAAGGTAGCATGCTCCAGCGACACACAGCCACATATGTTTGTTTCTAGAGATTTTACACCTAGAAACAGGTGTCTGGATGTTGGTTCTTTCAGTCTCCAATTGGTTTACTTTCTTATATAAAATGTTACAGGTAGTGGATTTGATAAGATATATTATCTTGCGCTAGGAACATCCTTGTTCTTTTTGGCAGCTCTCCAATTCCAAAGCTTTTGTCTATCCTAAACAAAATCTACTGTTCCTGATGTTATTGTAGATCCAGACATCAAAGGCTATCCAAAATGCCAAGGAAGACCTTGATATGTACAAGGAGAACTATGACAACTTAGTGGCAGAAGACAAAGTGAGTCATTGTCCCACCCTCTCCCCCAATACAGTTGTGTTTGTGCTGCCTAGATTCCAGGAAAATTCAAAGATAACAGAATTTACTTTCCACAGATTTTCTTTTCTCCTATAGTTATGGGTAAATCCCATGCCATACTAGAGTGTGTTTCTGAAAATCAGTGTGTAAAAGGAATTTTTGTAAACTTCTACAGTTTGAGGTTTCTCTTGTATCAAAGAAAAAAAAAGTGGGAGAAGGGACTCACCTAAACTTCAGGGTTTTTCAAAATTGTGATTATAGATCCTTAGTGGGCCATGAAATCAATTTAGGCCAGCCATGTTAGTCTGGGTACATTATAGAAACAAATCCACAGAAACTCGTATGTATAAGAGAGTATTTTATATATAGGGTAAGTGCAATCAAGAAAACCTCTCAACCCAGTGCTGCCCAAGCCCACAAGTCCAACATTAAACCCATATGTCCAACATCAATCCACAAAGTCCTCCTCCATCTCAGAAAACACACAATGATGTCGACTGTAGGAGGAAGGCCAAGTCAGTGAATGTGTAAGTATCTCAGCGCTGGCAGGGATCTCCACACAGGTGCTCCAGCACCCAGGGCTGCATCGGGGTAGGTCCATGCGGCTTCTCCATGGGGATGTCTTGCAGGAAGTGAGCCTTGCCAGCTGAAGCAGAGAACTGGCTAAGGCAGCTGCACCCTGGTCTGACCATCACAAAGCTAGAGACCCGAGAACAAGAAAGGCGAGGCTCACTGAGTCATTTATCCCTCCACCCTTCAATTAACCCCACATGAGTTTATTGGCCAGGTTAGCACAATAAACTAACTACCTCACCAGCATTATGACACTGGAATGGACTCTGATAGAGTAGACTAGAATGCAAAAGAGTACAACATCCAGATTAGCAGGCCTTACATACTTGTGAGTAAATGTTACCTTGTCAATCTTTTGTTGAATGTTGAGTCATATTGAAAAAATGGCGCTGTCTTATGAATCTTTGTAAAAGTGCAGTAAACATTGTTCTGGATAGTGTGGGAGGCCTCTTCAGTTAGACATCTTGATGAAATTTTAACACACTGAGGTACTTTCTATAAAAGAAAAAAAAAAACTTGAGGAATCCTTTGTACAGGGAATAGCCACCCTCTAACAAGTCTACTTTCTAAATCGATTTTTCATGGATTTTTAAGTCAAAGTGAGGATAGTCTTTGAAAAGTACAGTCGATACATAAAGGGATTTAAGAATCAAGTTGTGATCCTGGCAATGATGTGTTTGTTCCTTAGGTCATGGACCGCAGCTTTAAAAAGGAGTTTTCTGAACTTCCCATTCAACAGGTGGATTTACTCTACAAACTTTTCAAGCGTCGCCCAAGGTTTGTTTCTTCTTTTCTGTCATGCTTCCGAAAAGTTAGTAAATGAAGGAGGAATCCCAATGGCGTAGAACTAGGCAGCCTTTGGGGGTGGTGCTCAAGTGTCTTGATCATAATTCAACCCTTTTGAGTGAATGCCTGTATCTTTGTTGTGGTATAAGTATACCAAACCATGATACCAAACTCACTGTCATGGAGTCAATTCAGATTTATAGCAACCCCACAGAGGCAGAGTAGAAGTGCTTCTTAGCTTTCCAAAGCTACACGTGTTTATCGAGGCAGATAACCTCATCTTCCTCCCCAGGAGCAGCTGGTGAGTGTGAATCACCCACCTTTCATCCTAATTAGGTGAGCAGCCTCGTTCACAACTCAGTACATTGCCAGGGCTTCTTAGATTAAGGTGACCAGACGTCCCGCTTTTGGCAGGACAGTCCCGATTTTTAACAATTTTTCCCGCGTCCCACAGAGTTTTTTAAAAGTCCCGATTTTTGGAAAGAATGCACGACAAGCTAGGGTATACGGTTTTCGGCTGCCATGTTGCTATTTCGCCAGGATATGAGTTTTATCAATGGTGTCCCGCTTTTGTCCCGCTTTACCAGTGTTAAAATCTGGTCATCTTATCTTAGATATAAGTCTAGGCACTGGAAAAATAATTTCCCTTCATTATTTAAAAGTAGTCATGTCTCTATAAGCATAGTGCTATTATAAAGTCAATTTTACACTTGCAAGCAGTTCATCTTAAGTCATAAGGGACATGCAGATTTAAAAGCTGCTTTCTCCAAGATTAACAGTCCCTGGTGATATGAATTACAATTTTACATAAAAGGCTTCCAGCTCAAAATAAGTTTGAGGAAGCCCTGAGATCAAAAAAATACCTTTTTTTACACAAGTTTCTTTACTGCAGAACTTTTCAGGACTTTTTATTGGTCCTTGGGCTCCAAGCATAAGAAATTAAGCAAGCAATGGGATTTGACCACTCAGCCCTTTCCGCCAGGCAGTGCATGTGATCGCGTTTAAGGAACGGTTGACAAATGTCAGTGCAAACAGTAGAAAATAACCATTATCAAGAGTTCGAGTAGATCTGACATCTATACTGAGAGTAGTGTCAGAATTCCATTTCACTGATTTGCAAGATTCTAAATCCATATGTACACAGTGTTCAATCACACCTCATCTAGACATCACGCAGCCTCATTCTTTTCGAAGAGACCGGTTCATTCACGTCTCATTCTCTCGCCATTGGAAGGTTACAGAAAACCTAACAAATTGAACCCGGAACATGCTTCATGTTGCTGGTTTTTCTATTTGTAAAGGAGTGTGAGTTATAACAGCCATGAGCACGTTTCTTTGTAAAGAATAAAACAAGGTCATTAAGACTATAATGGGAGGAGTCACATCACAGCCCCATCACCTGGGGGCCAATTACTTGACTTACAACCTCACTTTCTAGGCCAGTGGTTCTCAACCTTCCTCATGCTGCGACCCCTTAATACAGTTCCTCAAGTGGCGGTGACCCCCCAACCATAACATTATTTTCATTGCTACTTCATCACTGTAATTTTGCTACTGTTATGAATTGGGCAACCCCTGTGAAAGGGTTGTTTGACCCCCAAAGGGGTCTTGACCCCCAGATTGAAAACCACTGTTATAGACCCAGAGGTGACTGTACGAATCTCACAAAAAGCATATTGATAATGTCTAACGCACATCCTTGTACTTTTCTTCCTTCCTACCAATAGCCCAGGAAAACCAAGCAAATCTACTAATGTAGAAAAGGAAGAAGAGACAGAAACATGTCTTCGGTTTCATAAACATCTGAACATATGCTAGGCTACTTGCTTGCAAAAATATAAACCAATAGAGAATGTGCACATCAGCACCAGAGAACAGCCACACTTCTCTTGCCTGCTCAAAACACACGGAGGAAAGATGCTTCCTAACTCAGCAAAAGCTGCCAGTGATGGCAATTTGCTAAGCTTCTAGTCCTGCCCAGGCGATCTTTGGGGAGCTAGAGAGGGTGAAAGAACAAAGCAGGTGTTTTCCCCTTTAGAATAACCCACCCACCAGGCCCCCAAGTGTCAAGAGCAAGTGTCATGCAGCATGCGTCCTACCTACGTTAAGCGTTTTACTTAACAAGGTTGCTTTATGTGAGCATGTGGAAGGTGGCTGACTTTCACTGGTTTCACCATGAAAGGGTTCACAAACAGAAAATGCAGCAGGATGCGATCAGCCTCAACCCTTTCGGGGAGCGGGTTGGAGCTGAGAAGTTGGCGAAGGATGCTGTCACACAGCTACTGAAATCCATGGAGGAACTGGACAATGTGAGCAACATGCCGGAAGGCCTGGATGCCTCCGTCTGGGAGCACTTCTGTGCCACGAGACGAGCAAAAGTGGAAAACGAGCAGAAAGTACGCAACAACACTTTCATTTTATTTTCTTTAGCATCATAATATCAAATGGGAGTGGGTCAGGGTAACCAAGAAAGCTAACTATTTAGGTTGTTCAGCAAGGGCCATCGTTGGGACTAGTAGCGCTGATAGTAACCTAAAATATGAACCATTTTGTTACTGAGGACTAAGTAACTGCCTGCCGGTGCTTATAGACCAGGCTGTCCAAAGTGGAACCACTCACCCCGGTGGTTACAGTGCGCTTGAATAAATGTGGCCAATTTGAGATGTGCTGTAGATGGGAAATACGCAAATACAGAGTTGTTAGACCGTATAAAAAAAAAAAAAGATAAAAGTCCCAATTTTTAAATTGATGACATATCAAAATGGGTGTTAATTTAGATCCCAAAATCCAAAGTCACTGCCATCGAGCCGACGCGGACTCATAGTGACCCCATGGGACAGAGTAGCACTGCTCCTGTCTGTTTCTGAGATAGTCACTCTTCACGGGCGTGGAAAACACCATCTTTCTCCCAAGGAGCAGCTAGTGGTTTTGAACTGCTGGCCTTGTGAATCACAGACCAAGGAGTAGCAACTAAGCCACTAGGGCTCCCACTTTATTTTGGATATATTGTATTAAATAAAATAAATTAGTAGAGTTCCTTTCATCCAGTTTCATTTTACTTTTTTATAATGTAGCTACTACAAAATTTGAAATTACATCTGTGCCTCACTTGTGCCTGACCCAGTACTTCTGGACAGCACTGTGTAGACGGGGTCTCTCCTTCTCCTCCCTGACCCATCTGATTACCTACATTAGAATTCAAGTTAGTTCATCAAAACAAGCTTTATTGTTTTTTCTAACATGCTCTTAAAAACGTTTTTTTAAGTAATAAAGGCCAAATATTTGTGAGTATATTTAATTGAAAACAGAATCTTTTCCTTTGTTGTTGTTGTTTTCCATTCTGCCACTTTTCAGAGTCATCGGTGAGAACACATTGTGGTAACAATTTAGCAGAACCCACATGAGTTTTGAAAGAAGCTGCAGAAAATTTAGCTCTGAAGGGACTCGCCTGGAATGCGGGCGTGGGAGCGGGTGCTCCACTCAATGCAACAAATAACTGCTTCTTTATTGACCACCCTTTGGGGGGACATGCTCTGTCCTTCTCTGTTGGCCTACCTGCCCCTTTTCATCTCCTTGTCTTTGTTGTCTCCGGTCACTAAATCCTCCCTACTTCTCTCTAAAATAACTGTCAGAGTGATGTTAGCTGTTAGCGTTTATTGCATGCTCATTTAGAACAGTCCCTACCTGGCAGACCCACTAGCATCCGGTCCATTTGGCTTCATAGTGACCCTCGAGGGCAGAGTAGAACTACTCATTTGCAGCGTCTTCATTCCACCTGCTTCCCCCAACTACACACACACTCACTCCAAATTCCCTAAATGCTGTGCTACATATGTTAGCCTGGCATACATTGGTTCGTGCATCTATGATTTGATCATTTCACTGAAGGCTATTAGAGCAAATTCTAAAACGAAGACGTAAGCAAAATTCTATTTCCTTGGCATATGTACTTTCCACCAAGAAGCAAATTCGAGAATCTTCAAAGTATTCAGGAAATTTACCAAGTAGATTTTAGCTACATTGTACCACCTAGCAGCAAGAGTTTAACAACATTTTATTAGAATATTAGAAGGTGGACTTTCTAAGGTGTTTCGCCCTCAGGGGGTGGGGGGAAACAAGTCAAAAGATCTATGTTCTCTGAAGAGACTTTAAACAAGTTATTTCTAAAGCTTCATAGGTTCTGAGATGTTAGTGGTTTGGTTTCTCCAGGTCAAGCAGAAAGGCTCCGGTTTAATGGAAATGTTGACTTTTCTCCGGAAGAGAATTGAGGACGATGAGAAGGTGCAGAAGAACATCGAGAAAGTGTTCCGTGAGCTTGTCATGTAATTTGAGTCTTTCTTTTGCGTGCATGTGCTCAAATCTACATGGGGAGCTAAGTTAGACGTGTGCAGTCCCTGGGGGAGAATGCCTAAGAGGAGAAACTGTCATCTGATTGACAGTGGTTGACAGCTGGCCCAAATTTAGCCAGCTCAGGTTCAGTGTAGTGCAGTGGTTCTCAACGTGTGGGTCAAGACCGCATTGGGGGTCAAACTACCCTTTCACAGGGGTCGCCCGATTTATAACAGTGATGATGTGATGACAATGATAATGTAGCAACGAAAATAATTTTATGGTTAGGGGGTCACCACAACATGAGGAACTGTATGAAAGGGTCATGGCATAGAAAGGTTGAGAACCACTGGTGTAGTGCTTTAAAAAAAGAAAGGACATGTTTACATGTGACCGAAGACATGGGAGAATGTTTATAACGTTGTTATAGGTTCCACTGTTATTATTACAAACAGAGAAGTTCAGGGAAACTGGTAGTTCTTTGGTTTTTATCTCTTCCTCTCACATAAAAATGCAAAGGGTCAGGTGGGGGGAGAAAAGGGGAATTGATCACAAGGATCAACATATAACACCCTCCCAGGGGGATGAACAATGGAAAAGTGGGTGAAGGGGGACAGAAGATGATGTAATCTATAGCTTATCCAGGGTTCATGAGGGAGGGCAGGCGGGGGAGGGAAGGGGAAAATGAGGAACCTATATCAAGGGCTCAAGTAGAAAGAAAATGCTTTAAAAATGATGATGGCAGCATACGTGTAAATGCGCTTGACACAATGGATGGATGGATGGATGGATTGTAATATGTAAGAACGCCAATAAAAGTATTTCACTAAAAAAATGCAAAGGGCCAGTTTCTGCCGGTAAGTAGCTTTAGGATCAAGCCATACAAACTGCAAAATTAAGCAGATGTCTGAGAAGTTTCCATGTAGACACCTGACCAACTGATAAGTTTATCTTTAGGAGAGCATCAAGGAGTTTAAAGTTCTTGCTTCCAGCTTCAGCCACAAGCATAGCCATGGTATGAAATACTACCCCGATGCTTGCAAAGCATCAGGATGCAGCCACTTGGAGATCTAGGCTACAGGGGAAAATATTAGTTACCTAGAACTATGTTTAATCTGTGCTTCATCTGTATAAAAATAACATGTAGATGAAGCACATATATGTTTAATGTACATTTATATATTGATCGTCCTTTGAAAACAGGCTCTGTCCTTCTCTGTTGGCCTACCTGTCCCTTTATATGTTACTATAATGTTGAAGTCAATGAATAATGTCAGAACTGCAGTAGATGTTTTTGGTAACATGTTTTCTTTTTAAATTTATTTTATTATAATTAAAATTATATTAATCTTTTCTTAATCCTAACATAAAATATATTCCTGTACATACCATTCTTTGAGCACACTGGAGGTAATTCCATGTCAGTAAGAAGTACTGTAGATACTTCTATAAAAATTCTTCTTTGAAAAAAAAAAAAATTCTTCTTTGAGAAGATGTTCCCCATATTAAGCTTTGAATTTTATAGTCTTAGATAGTAGGTGAGACTTGACATGTAAATATATTTTAACTACTTGCTTTGAGTTCTATTTCATTTTTAGATTACAGGAAGATAAAGTAGAATTCCAGTTGAATTTAACCATCCAAATTCTCCTCAAACAAGGACAAGTAGAACTGGAGAACTTCCAATTACTTCTGGAATATCCTGATGCAATTCTCATCAACAAGAACATAATTGAGGATTTGAATTCTGTGATTCGGGTAATTATGCATTTTCAGAAAGAAAAAGAGTAACGTTGCCTTTTGTATTAAGTATATTACATCATTTTTCCCTTTCTATGATAAATCATTTTAATTCAGTTAAATCAGTGATTTTAAACTCCAGCTGCATGTTAGAAGTACTTAGAGAACTTTAAAAATAGACTCAGGCCTGGTTCCTGTTTAAAGCACCCCAGATAAAGCTAAAGTAGGTACAGGAAGGCTAGGATCATAGGACCGTGGAGTTAAATCTAATATTCCATCGTTTGGTTAGCCTCAATCTACTCACCTAATGATAATCTTAGATGAACTTGGAGCACTGATTTTAGAGTTTGCTTCTTTGGGGACATAAACAATTCAAGTTACAAATTTCCCTCTAAACACCTTTAACTGTGTTCTGCAATTTTTGAGATGTTCTGATTTCTTTCCATTCAAAATATTTTTTAACACTCCTGTGATTTCTGATTTGACTCATAGGTTTCTGTCATTCATTTGGCTTTTACAAATACAATAGACTCACAGTGCCTGGCTATAATTTTTGCTGTAGGTAGTCAATTATCTCTTAGAGTAAAAAAATAGGGAACATTTATTTGCTATTTACCTTCATTTTCACAATTTCTAGAAATCGTTCTTTCTTGGTGTGGATCCAAGTTTCCAATTCGTGTCATACTTTTTAGTCCAAGAACTTCCTTTAACATGTTTGAAACATGGGTCTGCTGCTAACGACTTTTCTGTGTTTGTTTTGATTTTTTTTCTTCTTTTTTGGTCTGGAAAGTATTTCATTCATCTTTTGTGAAATGTATTTTACTGATTTTTTAAAATCTGGATTGATACCTTCTTTTTCTTCCTTCCATTCTTCTATCTCCCTGTCCTTCCCACTTTTCTCCTCCTTTTTTCCATCTTCGCACTTGAAAGGT